GTGGTCTAGGCAAAAAATTGTAAAATGCAAATCAGTAAATGTGTCCTCAACAACTACTTCCATGAAGTATGCTCCATGTTCTAGATACAACTACTATAACACTGCAGAACCTAAAACAACAGAGTAAATCTTGCAGTTGTTGAGATACTAGAAGTCACAAAGTGCTACACCTTCATTTTAAATAGGGGGTACTGAGACTAGAATGGTTAAAAGGTTTGCCCAAGTTCAATGTTATGACTAGGAAAGACCTAATTTTTTAATATTAGTGAAGATAAAAAAGTCACACAGAAATGAAGCTACCCCAGAAGCCAGAGAGTAAGAAAAAAATTAAGCTGGAGACAAAATCAAACTACATTTACACTTCTTAGCATATGTTAACATTTATTTATTTTATAATTTCATAATAAATTTGAGCCAGAATGATTAAAAATTTAAAATAATAAAGTTATTTTTAAAATTCAGAATAAAATTTAAGGTTTTTTTTAATGTTAGGATAGGAAGGGACTTTCTATGCATAAATGCAGAAAACATTTTTAAAGCATAAATTTAAGTTAAACCTGTCAAAAACAGAACAATATTTAAGAGCAAACAACTGGGAAAGTATCTGTAACAATATGACAGATAATAGATGAACAGCCTTATCATATGCAGATCAATTAATAACTACAAATCAACAAACAGTAACAGCAAACACTCCAATAGAAAATTAGGCAAAGGACACTAAGCAGGTAATTCAAGAAGAAAATTAAATGATCAAAACACATTTTGAAAAGTGAAGATTGTATTATAATTTTAAAAATGCTAATTACAAGATGTCATTCTTGATTTAACATATTAAAGATTAATACTGACTCTTCTCAATGCTGGTAAAAGTTGCAAAGATAGACACTCCCATGCTCTGCTAGTAGTAGGATTAGTACAATCTTTTTGATAGTAATTTGTCAATACACATCAAAATCCTTCAAAACATGAATACTCTTTGATTTGAAATAGCTAGTGGTTGACAAAGTGTGGATGGACTCCTGGAATCACTGAGACCCTCTCAGGGATCTAATAGGTCAAACTATTTTTATAGAAATAGTAAGATATTACTTGCCTTTCCCCCTGTATTGACATTTGAACTTACAGGGTAAAATAACTGTGGGTAAGACTGCCAGTTCCTGGGCCAGAGCACTATAATTGCACTAGCAGTCACTATGTTCTTCACCATAATATATTTGCAGGGGGAAAAAAAGGAAGAAAAGAAGGAAGAGAGGGAGTGTCTGCTTCACTTAAGAATATTCACTAATTATATTAAATCTTGTCCTTTTAAAATTCTATATGACAATAAGTAAATACAAAGCACATTTACTGCATATTGAAGTATGACAGTTGTCTCAGGGGAAAGCACTTGTATGATTGTTTGAGTGCTGAACTAGCCACTTTTTCCATTGCATGCAATTCTTACTTCAATGAACAATGAACAAAGTATGATTATTCAGATTTGGGTATCTGGCAGACATTTTCTCAAAAATAAATGACGTGAGGTTGTCACTTCCAGGAAAACAACTGATAGCATTTGTTGCGAACGATAAAATTTGAGCTTTCAAGGGAAAATTCAAATATTGGAAAGCTCATATCCATCACTGTAAGCTTGACAGCATCAGATCTTACAGACTTCTGATGAGACCAGTGGCGCTATTAACAAATGTGATTTTTTGATATTGTATAATAAAAGGTGACAAAACTTGGAAGATTTTTTGTAAGAGTTCACAACCAATATTTTTCAAATGAACAATGCATGATGATAAAGATCATGCATGGGTAAAAGATCCATTCATAGTTCACAACAGGCTAGAGGATTATAATGCAAGAATGTGAAAAGTTCTGATTCAGGTTTTGGATTCCACTTTGCAAATGACCTTTTAAAAATACTATTTGTTGCCAGGTACAGTGACACACACCTATAATCCTAGAGACTCCCTAGAAACTCAGGAAGTTAAGGCATAAAGACCTCAAGTTTAAGACCAGCCTCAGCAACTTAGCTAGACCCTGTCTCACAATAAAAAATAAAAAGGCCTGAGGAGGCAGCTCAGTGATAAAAACGTCTCTGGGTTCAATCCCCATCACCAAAAAATAAATAAATAAATACCATTTGTTGGATTTTGTATAATATCAAAAATATTCACAATTATCTATAAAGTCTATTATTGTTCCCTTTCCAACTATATATCTGAGACCAAAGTTTTCTAATATTCTTTAATCAAATACAATATAACAAGTTGAATGGCAAAAGCAGATGTTTTTCTTTATTAAGGCAGGAATTAAAGAGTTGTAAAAGTGTAGACCAATGTCATTTGCTCAATACTTTTTTTAAATTATGGTTATTATTCATAAAAATGTTAGCAAGTAATAAGTTTACTGCTTTTCAAATAAATTAATAAATATTTTTTAATTTCTCAGTTTTAATTTATATTTTGGTAAATATCTACAGATAAAATCTATATAAACAACAGTTCTTTTTTCTTCAACACATTTTTATAGTGTAAAGGGATCTGGAAACCAAAAGGGTAAGAATTTATGATATGGTCATTCCCAATTTCTAGAAGCCTAAAGAAGACAATCAGATTTGACACTGTATATGTACAAAAAATAAAAATTATGTTAAAAATTAGAAAAACAAAACCTTTGAATGCAACAATAAGGAATTGGATAATACAACTAAAATATAATATTATTGGTTACTTGGAATAATTTTTGAAGAATTTTTAAACATGAAGCATGTTCATATGCTCATAGTATGTTGTGAAGGGAATAAGATCTACAAACTAAATGAGCAAAGATAACGCACTAAAAAATAGACTAGAAGAAAAAAAAGACTAGAACTCCAAGTATGTGAATGCCATCCACCAAGAAAATAATTGCTACTGTTATTATTAATATTAAAGCTAAGTATATATTAATATTAAAGTTACACTTAACTAAGTATAGAACACTAAACTAAGAGAGGAAAAAAAACTGTATTCTAGGCACTGTTTGGTCATTAAATATCTCTGGGATATCCTTGGGGTGAACCCAGAAGCTTGAGCAAGCAAAGCAAGCAAGCATTCTACCATTGAACTACATCTTCAGTCCTTCCCTGGAATTTTTGACATTGTCTAACCTCTACAAGCTATCAAAAATTATAATGAGATCCTTACCTAACCAACGTTCTCAGTCTAAAGCCTACCCAAAACCTTTTCAACACTAAGTAAAAGAGTGCTGCAATGAAAATTGATTGAAACCAACTCCAAAATCACGCTACAGAATTCTGATCCAACCTACTAAATAGATCATTAATTCTTTCTTTTGCAAATTAATTTGACTTATTCTCTTTCTACAGGAAAATTTATTTAAATGAGTTATCCCCTAAATAGTACTTGGGAGAAGTAAAAAATATTTGGGCATATCATAAATAAGAAAGAAAGGTCATAAAAAAATAAGCAAGATAGTATGGTACTCCAAAGGAAGGGAATCTTCTTAAAATGCTGCTCTGAGTACTGGGGAGGTTACTTCTTATAGAGAACACAGGAATTTTCTATGGGGAAAAAAGACAGAAAAAAGAAAGAGAAGGAAGAAAGAAAGAGAAAGCAATGCAAAAATACAAAGTAGTAATATATGTACATAATGGGACCAGAATATTAAATAAATAAATATATAAATATAAATATATATATATGCTCTATTCTAAAACTGCCCAGAAATATCTATTTTTTCGCTTGACTGATCAGCCTTCACCTGTTTCTTTGTTCATGAACAAAACTGGCAACTGTTAATGATAGAAAATCAAATTCTAATTTGTCAATTTTGTTCCCTGTTAGCAAGTCTGAAAAATCCTAAAGATTATAAAGGGATAAATACTGCCCTAAATTCAATCTGGGTAATATTGAAGAGAGACTCCCTCACTTTATAGACTAGGAAAACCAGTTCAACAGAAAACTGAGGTAGTAATAAAATACCTTCAACTTGTGTTTCAATTTTTATCATAATACCTATCATCCAATCACTTCTATTTCCTTAAAAAACAAATAAACCAACCACATGTATAGTGATGTCTAGTCAAGAGCTATACATCAGACAGGAAAGTCCTCATGAAGGGATAACCATGCTCAAGGCCCCAAGGCCATAGAGCAAAATGGTATAGGTTTGGAATTGGTTTGGAGTTCAGAAAAAAAAAAAAATACACAAAAATTTTATACTTTTAACTTCATAAATACAATAACCTGGTTGTCCTGGTTCTTCGAGTAATGACTGATCTGTTTCCCCCTAAAATAAGGAATCTATATCATATAATTCTTAAAGTCTTAGAAAATTGGATAATCTTAAAATCACTGGGGGAAAAAAAGAAGTGGAGTTTAGGGGAGGAGAGAAATCAGAAATACATGTGGAATATGTACACATATGAAAAAAAAAAAACATTCAGATCTAGTTGTTCAAGTGGCCAATGACTTAAAGTGGAATCCCCTGGGGTACTAGTCTCTGAGTGTACCAAGCACCCTTGAGATCACTTAATTGGGTAGTCAACATTATGAGCCAGTCAAAGGGTATGAGGCCCCTTTAGGCCTGTGCTCCCTTGTTTGTTTCCAGTGCCCAACTGAAAAGTGGTCCTCCATTTATTCCTTTTGAACTTACAATTCATTATGTCACTTTGTGAAGCCTCTGTCACCCATCTTCCATCGCTAGTTTCTGTCAAGTAACCACTGGACATTTAGGAAACACCTACTATGTGTGCCCACCACCTAACACATATCAAGTAAGTATTTGTAGACTTGAATTTAATTGCAAGCCCTTGGGAGGCTTCAAAGGACTCATCCATTAAGAGTTTTGTGAGGAAGGCAAGTGAAAAAAACACCTTTTTCACCATCCTTGATCTCCTGACACTTGTGTTACTCCCGACTCATGTGTGACACGTGGTTCCTAAGAGTGACTGGACACAGCTGCTGCAGGCAAAAGGCTTCCAGAGGGGAGAGAGGGGCACTTACCTGGGGAACCTCTGCTTCAGCTTCCTCAGGCTCTGCCTGGTGGGCGGTACAGACACTAGGCACTGGGCTATCTCGTCGTACTGGGCTTTGGTCAGTATCATGTTGGGCCAGGGACCAGGAGGAGGCGGGACAAGGAAACAACACCCTTGGGCCCAAGCAGCCTTGGCGCCGGGAGATGTGGGGGTGGACGCACCGCGGCAAGGCCCAGGGTCCTGGTCTTCCTTAGCTGGTCCTCGCCCCCCCCCCCCCCCCGAAGCACACCCCAAAGTAGCACAGGAGAAACGGAGACTCGCCGTGTCCCAGGCTTCACCCGGCACCTCCTCGGTTGGGGCGGGTTGCAAACGCGATTGCCCTGGCAGAGTTTACTGAGCAGGCGCAGTGAGCCAGGCCAAGGCAACTCGCCGCCATGTCAGGTAAGGGCACGCCAACCAGGAAGTAGCAGCCGCCGGCGTGGAGGGCACAGCTTCTGGGTCTCGGCAGCAGATATGCTCAGCGTCGCCCACCTGGGGTCGATCGCTTCTGCTCCTGGAGTTCACGCCCCGCCTGTTGCCAAAAGCCAGAAAGACCTCTCTCACGGGCCAGGAAGAAGGCTCGTGAGTGCTCTGCCAGCCATCAACTTGAGTCCCCGAAAGCCTCTGCCAGAGCGCGTAATTTGAATGTGTTCCCAGTCGCTGCAGTTTAGGTGCAGCCTCAAGCAGGGCCCAGCCTGCGAAGAAACGTCCACACTCTGTGATCATGAGCCGAGCTGTAAACTGCATTTGCGTGCCTTAAGCATACAGTTTTGATTCTTGAGTCCATTTGTTGGCGTGTTTGGGGAAAGTCCTATAACTTCTACAGTTCGCGTGGAAGGCAATTGGTCCTTGGTGGGATACCCGACTTAAATATTACATCAGCAGACAACCAACAAAGGACACTAAAGAATGTTACTTTCACTCCCTACAGTTAGATGCTCGAGGACTAAAATCATATCTTGTCTTCCTAAACCTAGATCTCAGAAAACAGGCATCCAATAATTGGAGAAATGAGTCACTGAATTAATCCTTTGTTTTCTATATGTGCTGTGAGTGGATCTCAGCCCTCCTAAGGCAATTTATTGGAACATCAGCCCCTCCTTTAATCCCTTTTTTTTTTTTTTTTTTGGTTTCACAGAGAAGATGACTTTTTTTTTTTTATTGGTTGTTCAAAACATTATAAAGCTCTTGACATATCATATTTCATACATTAGATTCAAGTTGGTTATGAACTCCCAATTTTACCCCAAATACAGATTGCAGAATCACATCGGTTACACATCCACATTTTTACATAATGTCCTATTAGTAACTGTTGTATTCTGCTACCTTTCCTATCCTCTACCATCCCCCCTCCCTCCCCTCCCATTTTCTCTCTCTACCCCATCCACTGTAATTCATCCCTTTTAAGAAATTAATTTGATTCTTGAGTCCATTTGTTGCCCTTCTTCACTTTAAAATTTAACATTTAAACAAATGAAAGAAAAAGAACTTAGCTTTTAGAAAACGTAAGTGGTTTGAAGTCTTTTCATATGGAATAAAGTGTGGGTTGGAAGTTTAGCTTAGATATGCTTCATTGGATAAATTCCTTAATCCACTGTGGCCTCAGTTACTTTGTCTATAAAATTGATTTTTCATTCATGGGGGTGTTTTGAAGATTAAATAAGGTAGGACAAGTAAGGATTGCTTAGCATAATGTTCAGCAAATAGTCTAAACAAAGTAAACCAAGTAAAACTACTTGATAAAAATGGACAGGGTGTTTACTAGATTTTGTTTTCCAGACTTCCCATGTAAAACTCACTTAATCCTCATAACTTCCTGTGATGCAGGTTCTATTGCCTTTATCATTCCCCTCCTCCCTTTTGTATAGAGTGAATAAAGTAAGGCATGAAAAGATTAAGGAACTTTCCAGAGGTCATGAGAAAAAATAAGAAGCTGGGGTAAGGATTAAACTCCCAAAATTTGGTTTCAGAGTCTATGGTCTTGCCAACTCTCAGCAATTAATACCCAAATAGTATACTCTCCTAAGCACAAAGGTTAAGGATTTTTTTTTTTTTTTTTTAAGAAATTCGTTACATTTTGAAGAATCTTTTAGTGGAGATTTTAAAAATTAAAATTTCACCACTTTATTTTCTCAGGCATCCTGAATTCAATAACCATCATTTTTTTTTTCCTGAATATTTACATCAGCATGTTTTCTTCCCATATGCTTTGCATCTAACTCTGGTTGTGTGACATTAGTACATAACTATTTATTTATGGCAGCATGGCCTGGACTTGCCACCTGGCTAGTTTGTTGCTGACCCTGCCATGACTTTTACGTGAAAGCTAGCTGACAATAAGCAGACACCACTTGATACCCCCATTCCTTTCCCCTTTGCAACTTTACTCTTTCCAATTCACAGCCATCAGACTTTTATAGAAAACATCAGTTCAAGGATGTTTGCACTAGTTATTTTTATAGCAACTCTTCTTTCTGGCTCTTATCCTGTATTCACCCTCACAACCCTTAAGGAAAATGCCAGGTTTGTTTTCTGTTTTTATTTTTAACATGCTGCCAGTTTACAATCTTGACCCAAATCCAGTAGATTGTTTAGAGTTAGAGCTGGGAGAAAAGCACAGTTACATTACTGTTTTCATTGGCAGTGACAGTAGTGTTGTTTATTAAGCACAAAACAGAAGCAGAGCAGAAATGTTTGGTTGTTATTTAATTGGTTTCATTTTTCTTACAATGTGAAATGGTTGGGGTTAGCCAGTTAGCCCACTGAGGCAGCCTTTCTCCCTCTCTCACTCTTCTCTGTCTTCCTCCCATTTCCCATTGTACTCAATGCCCCTCATCTGCTATTACTTTTTTAGAGTTGCTTCTGCATGCTTGAGTCCCCCACCTCCCCGTTTCTCAGTCAGCCAGCAATATGATTTCCCCACTAAGTGAAATAGGGTTGTGATATAAAAACACAAATACCCCAAAGAATTGACTACTGTTTAAAATCAGCCATGAAATGTGTCACCTTAAGCAACTGACAGCCTCTCCAATCCTGAATGTTCTCAGTGTAACCTCAAGTCTCCTTCTGAAGGGGAGAAAAAAAAAAAGCTGATAATATGGAAAAGGTATAGGAAACAAGACCAAGAAAATATGTCAAAGTGGGGACTAATACAGTTGGCTGGAAGAACAACTTACAGCCGGGAAAGACAGATTGGGGGGATGGGCCAGAGATCTCTCTGCCAATTCCTGGACAACATGAATGTTGAACAATTTTAAAGGAGTATGGGGTTTGGCAGAGAGGCATCAGAGCATCATTTCAACAAGCATGCTAACACAAGAACTAAAAATAAGAATGACCCAAGTCACATGCCTGGGAAAGTTATTCCTACTGGAGTAAAGAGTTCTAGGCAGAGTGAAAGGAGTTAAGAATGTTCAGCCTTGGAAAGAATCAGCCACGCTTTCAAACAGTCTGCCAAATCCAATGCATGTTTTAAGAAATACTGACATTATTATTTTTATTATTCTGTAAAGTCTGATTCTACTCATGGAGTCTCTGGTAGTTAATACACTATTTTAAAGAAAAGTCATTGAAATTTACTGAGTAAAGAAAAAGAAGGATGCTAAAATTATTTGAGCACCTATGATATGCAAACATTATCCCATTATGCCTTATCTCACTTGATCTTCCGAATTTCCCTATGCAGCAGCCCTTATAGCCCCTAGTTCATAGATTAGGAAACTGAAGTTCAAAGACATGCCTAGCTGTTAAATTGCAAAACCATGACTAGAACCCAAGTTAGTATGACTATGAAATATCCTGTTATCTATTAAGCTGTACTGTAATTCAAAAAGGATTTGAAAACTCTTTAAATTCTTCTCAATAAAGCATCTATTCTCTGAAATAGCCTGCTACCTTCTTTGGCCATCAGAATGCCTGCTGAAGGGGCAGTCACCTTTAATTTTGACAATTAGCCAAAACACACTTCTAAAAAGTTGGCCACTTTTCAGGCATTGGGATTGTGGCTCAGCGGTAGAGTGCTCTCCTAGCACATACGGGGCACTGGATTCAATCCCCAGCACTACATAAAAATAAATAAAATAAAGATATTGTGTCCAACTACAACTAAAATAATAATAATAATTTTTTTAAAAAGTTGGCCACTCTGACTAGAAAAGATTGGATGGATTTTCTCTGTTCTATGAAGCAGCACCTTAATTGATGCATCTTTGGAAACCAAAGTTTAGGTCTCTAGACTTGCCATCCTTGAGAGACAAATCATTTTATACTGATCCTAAAGAAATAAAAGCTCTTAGTAAGCAATTAAGATCAGAATAAAGCAGTTGTTGAGGCTTGTGGCAATTACTCAATTTAATGACTTGTAGAAAACCTACAGAAGGACGTTCCACACTATAAGGTGGAGCAGTTACACTGAAAGGTCAAGGAAGACCAAAAGCCAAATGTTGGTTCCTTCATGCAAGTTGGTGGTAAATGAACTCTTGGTCTGTGAAACCATGTGGTCTAATTCCTGAGAAAGGTCACATGATGATGGGAGCATTCACCAAGACCTGTTTCAAACAGAAACTGGATCTCATGGGCACATAATTCAGAATGGCGCCTCCTCAAGTCTTTGTTATTCAATAATACTAAAAGCTAATGTTTGAGGGGCACTTACAAAAAGCAGGAAATATGCTAACGACTTTATGTTCATATATCTTCTCTTAATTCTTAGATCCAGCTCTACAAGTTAAGCACTGTTATTAAATCTCCTTTCCAATTAAGAAAACTAAGGCAGAGAGGGGTGGTTTCTACTTACTTCATTAGTTATTAAACAGCATACTAGAATAATGTTTCTTAAATTCTGTGTTGGGAACCTAGTTTTCCCTCAATTTGTCATGGACAAATAGTTAAAATAAGGCAAAAAAATTACTCAAAAAAATGAAATTTACAAAGACATATGAAGCACAAATCTACAGTTTGTTATTTTGAGATTTAATAGAATATAATTAGTTCATCAAATTAAGATAAAAGGTTATATTTGCTCATTCTCAATTTCTGAACTTACTACCTCAAAAAGTTTGCAGATTAGTTCTGGTTTGCTGACTATGTTGTAAGTTGCACTATACCTTGGATATAAGCAAAGGAAGAATGCTGATTTCAAAGTCTAGAACCTCACACTTTTCAAGTGTTCTTAGTTAGAAGAGGAGTATAACCTGTTTCTTTTAGACCTTTGAGCACCAACCATTACTACTATTATCATTATTCTACTGTATTTAGTTCTTCTTAAGTGAAGTACACTTATTAAGGTCAACAGTACAAGTCGTTATAGCCTATTTAATTTGTA